TGCTGCACAGGTATTCAAGGATCGTAATCAACAGCCATGTTCAATCCACTGCTAGATACAGGGCCCCGCTAACCCAATCGTCTTATCTCACAGGCTTGCCGTGCAATAATCTCTCGCACTTTGGACGCATGCTGATTTCGTTGCTACCTCTCCACAATAAGTCGCAACCGGAAGCAATCTGGGAGATTTTAATAGGAGAATATTTTAAAATATTTTTTTTCAAAAAATATTTTCAAAAAATCTCACCTGAATAGCTTCATCGGTAAGATTTGGCATGTTTTAGATGCCAAGGTGGCGAGATATTAACTCGCTCGCGTGGTATGCAGGACGTCGTGGGTTCGATCCCGATCCCGACCCCGACGCATGTATATTTGGAGTTTGCGGTGTCTCTCTCCCCGTGGTCGCGTGGATTTGTCTCCGGGTGCTCCGGAGTTTTCCCTCCACATTTAGAATCATCATCACACGTTTAGAGTATTTATCTACTATTATAAATTCCAACATATGATAAGCCACTTCGTTGAGCTATAATTTGTGGCCAGGTCGCTTCTGAAAAATAGCTCGATAGCTCAGTGGGCGTTAGCTGGTAAAATAATAATAAAAAAAATAGTTTAGTTCATGCAAAAAAATAAGAATTGTTACATTTTGATTTTGAACAAACATTGTAAAAACATCTATTAGTTCCAGACTTCTGCCAAACCCTCTGATCTTGCTCTGGAAATAAACCGTTTATCTGAAACGGTTCCTTACTCCGATTTGTTCACTTGCCAAGCTATTTCTTAACCACAGCGGTTCTTGCGAATTATTCTAAATCCATTCCAAATCAATATGTACTGCCAACGTTGCAGAGTAACCTTAATTATCTCGGGTTGTCCTGAATTCAGTCCTGAATTGTATCGAGTCCCCGAGGAGGCTCCCAGCGTGTGCAAAACGAAACGTCGGACATCGTGCCGAACGTCACGTGGCACAAACCGGAAATACACCGGAGAGCTCGACCGCTCACACGCGAGAACCTGCGCTGTTCAGCAATATTCGTTAAACGTCATCATTTGGGGTTTTACGCAAAATGGAGACAACTAAATATCCCCAAGGACACGAGTGAGGTTGCGTAGTAGTAACACGATCCGTGTTTCTCTCGCAGCTATTTGTTTTCCAAATATTTACGCAGTTTATTTTTTTCTTTTATTTCACGTGTCCAACTAAGATATAATGCACACCACGCTACCTGGAAGAAGAAAAAAAACATGAAAACAATACTTGCTGCAATGTACTAACCGGTGGGCGAATAGCTTCAGGGAGATTAAACTTACATTTATATTCAGCGTTGGTGGCCCCGTGGGCTACAACTATTGGGTTATTTCCCCACTGGGATGAACATTTCATCTGGCAAATTACAAGGTTGCTAAAATAGAAACTAATAAACACACAACGACAAAATAAATACTGACTATATCAACCAAATTACGGACAAAACTGCATTGCTCGTCACGTAAACTATTACCCAGCTGTTTCATGGTTTTCTCTCTGAAGTCGTCATCATCGTCAGCCATGATCTATCCGCTGCAGGATGAAAACCTCCTCCTCCTCCTCTCCCCACTCCCCATGCCGTCTCCATCTCTAAGAGCCTTGCGATGCGACAATCCATCGAGCTGCTGAGCACGAGCTGATGTCACTCCGTCTCTGCGGTGGGCGTACTCCCAGGGTCGTTGCCTCCTTCGGCTGCCGCTCGGATGTTCGTGCTGTAACCACGAGCCATCATCTCCTCGAGGGATGCGTCTTGCACAAGGCCGTTTCGCTTTTGTTAGCAGTCAGAGTGATGTCAAAACTTGCGTTTGTTCTCCGACCCGTTTGTTCTTCTTCCCGGCTCCGAGTGTACTTACAAACATGCGTCTCTGCAGACATATTCATCGGCAACATAGTAAAACACGGTAACAGTTTGAATTAATTTGATTAAATTATTGATTTATTTAAGTAGGAAACTGGCACTAGTTGGACACATGTGTAGGATGGACAACAAAAGGGAATATTAAAAAGTGAGTTACTCGGAAGAAATGGAAGGAATCGGAAAGCGAGGGAGATCGAACAGAGAATGGCTCGACGACAAAGGAGATTGGTGCCAAGAAATGTGATCATTGACACTTATAAAGTGCCCTTGAACAATCGTTCTCAGGGCGCTATACATGGAAAGGCGGAAAATATTGAACAACAATTAAGCAAAGAAGAAGTCAGAAAGACGTTTGAAAATAACTAAAGAAGGTATATTGACACAAGACAAATGACAAAATGTTGCAGTGGACACCTACGAATTATCTGCTCCATAGATCGCGATGATGATGATGATGAACATGATGTATACATTCTCCGGGGGTTCCCGGTTTTCCCTTCACGTTTTGAATCAACACGCGTTGAGAGTATGTGGCTGCTTAAAATGTGCACATGATAGGCTACTTCGTTGAGCTATCATGTGGCCAGGTCGCTTGCGAAAAAGAGACATAGCTCAGCGAGCCCTACCTGTTAAAATTAAAAAATGTTTAGTTCCTAAATAGTTTATAGATGACACATTAAAAATGTTTGTCTACGACGTAGAAACACAGCAGGCTCCTTGTTTGAATGATGTCGAAAGTGTGATTGACATTTGCAATTCCCCCACGACATTTAATTGGCAGTGATGGGAATTAAATCCTCAAATCACGAGAAATTGGCTCAGTTGGTAGAGGCCCGGTTGTTAGGACATACTGTACAGCCACACGTTATTGATGGCTATTGGCGAGCACCCCACAGCTCAGCAAGCAGGCGGGTGGTCAGTCCTATAGTCCATGAGCCCAGACCAGATAGACTTCACTTGAGTGCCACAGTGGCGAGATGTTAACTACCTCGCCTGGTATGCAGTAGGTCGTGGGTTCGATCCCGACCTTGACACACGGTAAATTTGGGAGTTTGCGTATCTCTCTCCCTGTGGTCGCCTGGATTTTTTCTCCGGATCCTCCGGTTTGTCCCTCCACGTTTAGAATCAACATCACGTGTTTATAGTATTTCGCTGCTGCGACAAATTCCCACATATGATGAGCTACTTTGTTCAGCTTTATTATTTGTGATCGCCAGGTCGCTTCTGAAAAAGAGCTATATAGCTTAGTGGGCCTTGCCTAGTAAGATAAGAATAGTTTACTGGCAAAGAACAGTCCCATAGGTATAACTGCTCGCCACGAGCTATAATTGTTCAGATACTTGCATTGTCTTTGTACTGTTCGCCTTTAGGCGTTCTCTGGTCTGACACAGGTGAGACAAGGACATAAAGAAAGCTGTCTCTGGTGTAGGCCAATCAGTTTTAAAGACGATGGATATTTGATCAGAGCACTTTGTTTGCGTGTTTTTGCCACAAGTACGTGTGGCTAATACAGTCATGATGCCTTGCAAAATGTATATATTTGGTGTTTGAACTTCTTAACACCTGTTTTATTGCCAGACAGGGTAAAATATATTCTTTTGTTTTCATCACCTTGGATACTGGCAAAAAAGGTCCCATAGATAACGCTAGTTTATTTCAGATATGTTGTTGCTGAGAGAAACGGTTGGGAGTCCATCCAGAAGTTGATAAATCATGGCTTATGGTGACTTTTTGCTTCCCTCGGCCTTTCCCAAAGATAGATGAATGTGTTTAGTCTCTACGGACTTTCCTCTGGCTGTAAATATAGAACTCACTCACTGTGCAGTCGTTTGTCAAATGTCTTTTGAAAGTATTCTCACTATCGCCGAGTTTTCAGTTAAAAATAGGTGAATTGACTCCATATTACACAAATAAATAAAGTGCTTCACCGTTTCATTCGCTGCTTTTCTAAATACATTCATACAAAAAAAGTGCACGCATATATATAGAGGAGAGATAAATATTTGCCCTGGTCTGCAGTGGAACATTTTTTATTATTATTATTAAAGGAGGTATTCATATGTCAAACTTATTTTTACAAATTAAGCGTACTCAAATAAGCAACATTTAACTTTAGCAAAATACAACAAACAGGAAGCTCGGTGTGGAATTATTGCTCAAAATAAGAATCATAAACGCTAAATCATTTACATTAATTTCCCATCCACCTTCGCATTAAATTTGGTGTTGCACTAAATTTGGCGAATTTTAGCACCAAGACTTCTAAAATTGTGGTTTTACTGTCAATCAACGGGCGCTTCGTAACATGACGGGAAGCAGAGTGCTGCCACCCCCTGGTGGGGGTAAGAGGTCACGTGAAGACTTTCAGGAGCAGTTCTGTGATATCTACTTCCACTGACCGTTTTTTTTTTTCTAACACGGGGTTGACGCCGCACTGCCCTGCTGGAGTTAAAAGAGATGAGGTGTCTCGTGTCAAAAACACAGGCTAGCAACGAATGTGAAAATGTACCCATTTTATTATGCAACTCCCTTTACAACGTTTGACATTTACCAATAAACAAAATACATATGAAAAGTAAAAAAAAAGCTACTCAACTTCGGCACAGTGTCACATCTGTACTAAATATCATGATTATATTCAAAGCACCTTGGCGGCCTGCAGTGTTCGCAGCCTTCAGAAGCCTAAAAATCTCATGGCAACCTTACACAGACTGCAGAACTGCAGTGTAAACACACACACATACACTCGGCAACGATTCAGACATGCACCGTGTTGGTGCTGCTTTGGGTGACGTCAGCGTATTCGATTTTCCAGTTTCACACAATGTTACGCAGCCAAGCTAAGTGGTAAACACGAATGCTTACACTCGCACTATCGCGCATTGAATCGTGCCGCTAAGAACAGATTATATTATATTCTTGGTTCTTTCGGTAAAGTCACGTTGAAGGGACACAATAAAATAATAACATATATATAAAACAATAAAATTCTCACGACGTTTCGACTGCAACACAAGCAGTCATCATCAAGTTTTCACACCTGGTGTGGAAACCTGATGATGACTGCTTGTCGTGAGAATTTTATTGTTTTTATATATATATTATTATTTTATTGCTTCCCTTCAACGTGACTTTACCGAAAGAACCAAGAATATGAATCACTGCAGTCACGAAAGCTTTAAATCAAAATATTATATTACGTACAAATTGTGTTCAAGTGATATGCTAATGTTACCTTCACGCTCCGAGAACCGGAAAGAACAAAGAGTAAGACATCCACGTACTGAACGCACAATACGGGAAATAAGAAATTAGACGGTGGGAACGAGACACAAATCTCGAATCCAATTATGACAATTGCCCAAGTTGCTGGGTGGAATGCGGGAGGGCGCGGATGCGACCATTACACGCTTACTGAGTGGTTAATTGAAAATGCAGAAATCAAATTCCTATTTCCCTGCTGTGCTTCGAGAGAACCGGTTTCTCCTGAACGGCTTCCAGGGCTTAAAATGACCAGACGGAGAGTCGACCAACTATGACGAGACGGAGAGTCGACCAACTATGACGAGACGGAGAGTCGACCAACCATGACGAGACGGAGAGTCGACCAACTATGACGAGACGGAGAGTCGACCAACTATGACGAGACGGAGAGTCGACCAACTATGACGAGACGAAGAGTCGACCAACTATGACGAGACGAAGAGTCGACCAACGATGACGAGACGGAGAGTCGACCAACTATGACGAGACGGAGAGTCGACCAACCATGACGAGACGGAGAGTCGACCAACTATAACGAGACGGAGAGTCGACCAACTATGACGAGACGAAGAGTCGACCAACCATGACGAGACGGAGAGTCGACCAACTATAACGAGACGGAGAGTCGACCAACTATGACGAGACGGAGAGTCGACCAACTATGACGAGACGAAGAGTCGACCAACTATGGCGAGACGAAGAGTCGACCAACTATGACGAGACGAAGAGTCGACCAACAATGACGAGACGAAGAGTCCACCAACTATGACGAGACGAAGAGTCGACCAACCATGACGAGACGGAGAGTCGACCAACTATAACGAGACGGAGAGTCGACCAACTATGACGAGACGGAGAGTCGACCAACTATGACGAGACGAAGAGTCGACCAACTATGGCGAGACGAAGAGTCGACCAACTATGACGAGACGAAGAGTCGACCAACAATGACGAGACGAAGAGTCGACCAACTATGACGAGACGGAGAGTCGACCAACGATGACGAGACGGAGAGTCAACCCAACTATGACGAGACGGAGAGTCGACCAACCATGACGAAACGGAGAGTCGACCAACGATGATGAGACGAAGAGTCGACCAACTATGACGAGACGAAGAGTCGACCAACGATGACGAGACGAAGAGTCGACCAACTATGACGAGACGGAGAATCGACCAACGATGACGAGACGGAGAGTCGACCAACGATGACGAGACGACGAGTCGACCAACTATGACGAGACGGAGAGTCGACCAACGATGACGAGACGAAGAGTCGACCAACTATGACGAGACGAAGAGTCGACCAACGATGATGAGACGAAGAGTCGACCAACTATGACGAGACGGAGAATCGACCAACGATGACGAGACGGAGAGTCGACCAGCTATGACGAGACGGAGAGTCGACCAGCTATGACGAGACGAAGAGTCAACCAACTATGCAGAGACATACATACACATCGTTCAACCGATGCATTTGTGCGGCATACTAGTTAAACGATCAATCTACTGTCCTGCGCTCACATCCTAAGGCCACTGCTGGCAGAAGAGCCTCCACGAGCGCGAGTTCAACAGAGCCCCTCTGTGGCAGTTTCGTTGGCCTACTCCTCCAGATGCCGTGGGAGAGGTGGGACTACCCACACTCCACCCCACCACATAGCTTAGTGGGCCTCACCCGGTATAAATGTAAAAATAGCTTAGTTCGTTTTGAGCATCATCACCGCCATCATCATCGCCGACCTCACCATCCAATTCACCCTCTCTCCGATCCGCCCAACCCACTCCCCGGCAGCGCCCGCTTCAGAAGCGCGCCGGGCGGACCTTCATCTCGACGGAGCGGAACGAGTACTTGCGCCCGGTGCGGTAGTCGCTCAGGATGTACCACGTGCCCCAGTAGATGCCGTCGGTGACTCGGCCTCGGTAGCCCCCGCGGTGGTAGCGCCCGTTGAGGTTGGCGGCCAGGCAGGAGTCGAACCACCACCCGGACGCGTAGTAGGCGGCGCAGCTCCCCGCGGCGTAGGCGTCGTTGTCGCGGTCGGGCGTCGAGAAGGGCCTCCCGTCGTGGTTGTAGCCGCGGCTGTAGCCCAGCGCGTTGCCCGCGTCGCCGCGGTAGCCGCGCGCCGTCAGGCGGTAGCGCTCGCGCTCGGACGCGACGCGGAAGTGCGAGTAGAGCGCGTGGCGCCGCACGCCGTGCCAGTCCTCGAGCTCCACGCGCAGCGTGAACGACGACTGTGACGACGACTGTGACGATTGTGACGACGACGACGACGATTGTGACGACGACGACGACTGTGACGACGACGACGAGGACGATGATGGAGGCGACGACGGCGAGGGTCCCTCGTCACTCGTCCGAGTCAGCTGGTGCAGCCGATCGTTGCCCAGCCAGTGCTCGCCGCCCACCTCGCCGAAGCCGCGCTTGTACTCGGCCCACGTGCGGTTGAAGTCCCACGAGCCGTCGCGCCGGCGCTGGAAGACGGTCCAGCCGCCGCCGTCCGTGTCCATGTCGCAGAACGCCTGCGAGCGCACGCGAGGGGGGACGGGGAGACAGAGGGAGAGAGACAGAGGGAGAGAGACACAGAGAGACCTTTGACTTTTAAAATCAATTGTATTGCTTCTAGGAAGCGTCAATGCCAGCAGCCAGTGACAGCGCACTCGTACGAAGCGTCGATGTCAACAACAACAAAACAAGGTGTTCATCACGCATGGCAGGGCATCATCTCTGAGAGAGGCGGGGGGGGGGAGGTATTAGAATGCGTAGTGAAGTGCATTACATATTTACAATTGTGCATAGGGCCTCCCCGGCGCCCCCCATTTATTTAAAAAGACACCTTCCCCCCCCCCCCTGGCATGATCGTAGTACGAGTGTTCCAGCTGTAAGCGTGCTTCTATGAGAGCCTTCAGCATTGCCACTGCCCCACAGTCACGACTATCTCCTTCCAGTCTTTGCTGCCTCGTTTTATAGATCGCCAGTTTTGCCTGGGCGCACACAAAGTTAGCGACATCGCGCCTGCTGCCGCTCGTCACGGCCAATGCGTACACGGATGCTCTCTCGTAGAAAGGGATGTCCAGCCTCCTGAATATCTGTGCTAAGAAGCGGAACAGCGGGTCAAGCCGTTTGCACTTGAGGTATTGGTGGGCGAGATCCTCTCTCGGTCCGCAAAATGCACAGGTGACTGGAGTTCCTGGTGAGGCTCGGCTGACCCACACAGCTGAGGACACACTCCAGTGAGCCAATCTCAATTGGAGGTCGCCACAGCGTTTTGCAGTGGGGGGCTTGTACATGCCACACCACTGGGGGCCAGCATCCATCAATGGGGAGAAATATTCTCTCCGTTTTGTGTCCGGTAATTTCTCGAGGTCCTGAAAATGCAGCACTTTTACACAGTAAGTGTACAGCTCTTTTTTGTGAGCCTCCCTCAACGAGACGTCTCTGCATCTCTTCGTTTTCAAGAGCTTTTCCCCTGTCCTTGCGATGGGAGGAGGCGGCATCTCCAGCTTCAATCCCAGTTTCTGCAGCGTCCTCAGGGCCTCCCGCAGCAGCTTCTCCCCGGCGAGCATGGAGCCAAGTCCGGCCGCTTCGGAGATTGCCAGAGCTGGCTGCCACCTCGGCTGGCGAGCGTCCACCAGGTCGCTGACCCGACTCACTCCCGCGGCAGCAAACCATAAGGGGGAGAGACCATCGCCAAGATCAAGGCCTGCGAATTACTCTCGGCAGAGGGGAACAGAAACGATGGAGCGCGACGGATGGGTGCCTGATACCCTCACCTCGAAGGGCACCTGGGCAGACGCAGGCTGAATGGTGTAGATGCCGCTTTCCTTGATCTTCTGCTTGTAGATGTCAGCGCAGTTCTCTGGGAAGAGTCGTCCATTCAAGGCAGCAGCAGCAACATCATCCTCTGCAATGTCAAGCAAGAGATTTCACGACTTGTGCACCTGGAATCTGGGATATCCACTGCACGTAAATGAACTAAAGATGAAACTACAAACTATGTATAGTTTACCAAGTAAGGCCCACTGAGCTATTTAGCTATCTTTCAGAAATGACCTGGCCACAAACGATAGCTCAACGAAGTGGCTTAATATTTGGGAATATATTGTAGCAGCTAAACGCATGTTTCTAAATGCGGAGGGAGAAACCTGCGGACCTGGAGAAAAATCCACGCGACCACGGAAAGAACACACAAACTCAGGGTCGGGATCCAAGCCACGACCTCCTGTATATCAGGTGAAGTAGTAAACATCTCGTTACCCTGACGCCTAAAATATCTTGTGCATCCTTTCTCTGACACGTGGGTCACACCGCTCTGTGAGATTTCCAAATGGATTCGTCATCATGTGACGTGACATCGGTAATGGGGGTGGCGGGAGGGATTAAGTCAATTTAAAGAAAACAAATGTGGTAACTTGAGTCGAATGTATCATGGTGAGCGAATACCAAGACCAAAACACCCCTCCAAATAAAATGACATCTTCCGACAGTTATATTTGCGAGCAATGATTCACGGATCGCTCCACTTTCAAGGGGGCCCGGCAAAGTTTGACAAAAATGCATTCAAATTTTGCATTACTCCTGGCAATGTAACTTTGATACAGATCGTTACACATTGTCGATTACTTTGAGGTGTGTAATAAAGATAGCAATTACAAACTACAAATGTAACGATGAACTTTCATTTTTCTTTAATGCCTTTGGTATGAATATATTTCCCATCTCTGGCTGGCCCGGAGGGTAATGAATGAGTTATTAGTCTAGGTCAGCGATTCTTAACCATTACTGCAGCCTTGCACCCCTTTAGTTCTCAATCATTAAAACATATATAATGTTAATACATACATAAATGTGTTTGATGAAACAAAGTAGTTGTACTTACGTGCCCGTCCTTAATGTGTGTGTTTCGATGATTTACCTTCTAAAAAAAAATCTGCCCGTGTCTCGCACTCCCAAGAAAGGGGCTCTCGCACCCCCAGCAGCGAACACGTCTGCCTCTCACCCACACAAATATAGACAACCCCTCTGCTCTAAACAATACATCCTGGAATTACTGAGGCTCTAAAAACCCCGCACATCCACCGAACCTTGCAGCTCTTGAACCCGTCTCGCCTTGCAACGACTCTCAAGTCCACATTCGCCAAAGTGGCTCGTCGCGACTGCGCGCGCTTCGGGCATCAAAAGCGACGCCGATTACCGGCTGCATGCGTCAATTCGCTGCCGGACCCTTGCGCCCATTCGCAATGAGACACCGAGAGAACCCAAAGCTGTCGTTTAGGACTCAGTCAATAGGCGGCGGGAAGTGGGTGGGGTGGTGGTGATGGTGGTGGTGCATTCGCGTGTGAAATGTCAGCAGCTGCAGTAGCGGCGGCGGCAGCGGTGTGTGATGGAGGGTGGTGGTGGTGCAGTCGAGGATTTACCGTCCGTGGAATCTTGCTTCGAGATGTCCGGCGACAAAGGGAGGAGCCGCCCGCTCGTGTCCAGGGTCTGTAATCGTCGACTCTCTGTACGGCGCACGCCGGTGAACAAGAGTCACCAGCGTCACCAATTTGTGTCGGGCCAAGCGCCGAGCCCACGTTTGGCCCGACAGGTCCCACCGCACGCTGACGTTGTGTGTGTGTGCGTGTGTGTGTGCGTGTGCGCGTGTGTATATATGTTGAACTTCTTTCGGCACCGTAAGTAGCCAACAGTGATAATCAGAGGTGCGGTTAGCGCTACGCTGCGCTATGAACCCGGCGACCCGGGTTCGATTCACGCTCATGGCCAACACCCAGTGAGGATTATCTGAACCGGTCATGGGCCTCCCCTAGGTCAACTAAGCCTAAAATGAGCACCTGGTGCGGTGTGTAAACGTCGCCACTAGGGAGACAAAGGCGGTCGGGCGTGGTGCTGGCCACCCACCATCCTCGTGTACCGTTCAGGGCCTTCATAGGTGCTCGCTAACAGCACTGGCCCCTACAGTCTGTTAAGGCTATACGGGGGATCTTTGTATTTGTCTTTGTGTGTATGTTGAACTTCTTTCGGAAGATCGTGCGTGATGGTTTATTATGCTCCTTTGAAGGGCTGATAATGAACTTGACCTGAAACCTAAAGTGGCAGTAATGTTTGGAGTGTACAATAATAATAATACGTCACGATTTGAGTCAATATCCTGGTTATCTCATAACAGTGACACTAATAGACAGTTATTTGACGCGATATTTTCCTACGATAAAGTCACGTACGTATAAACAGACAAAGTATCTGTTTCACCTGCAGAAAAAAATGTAAATAACCCGTTGGGAGTCTCAGCCTTTGTGGAGCAATGCTTCCAGCAGCTTTAACACGTAGGCTTTCGTGACCAATATCATCCATAATAGAGGGGGGGGGGGGGGGTTCAGCAGCATTGGTTTAAGCCAGGCAAAACTGTGGACCGGTTTCAACGTCCCCAGCCTCATCAGCAGAGTGTGACTACCAAACAAATGCTGCCCGGCAATGTTGTTAGCTAGTCGCCTCCGATTCCATATGTGGACGTATTGGCGGTGCACCGGTTAAGCATAGCACAGGGGTCCTCATACAACAGTCTAGAATCCAAATTTGACCGAGCAAATCAATTTGTCAGTCTTTAATTGACTCGTGTCGCCAATTTTGACGCGATTCGAAGGTTTATTGAGTCTACTGAGACTTGCTCAAATAAACAGGGGTCACTATTGGCCGTTGATTTGGGTCTCGTTGAATCGAGGCACCGTCCGACCAAGTCGAGGGCACGAGGAGTCAAATGTTGCCTTTAGAACGTAGCAGCCGAGCGTGGTCGTGGCTGGGTGCTGCCATTCGGCGACAGACCGTGACCCTTCGTGTTCAGCCGGCTCGTGGGAACGTCTTCCGACCGCTTACGACATCACGAGAACTGATTTTGACTCACCACCACCACCACCCCGCAACATTTTCTTGACCGTGCTTGCGAATTGCGAGAAAGTAAAAAAAAATTGCGACAATTTTTACTATCATTTATATTTTTTTACCTTTTCCCGCACACCAATGGTGTACCGCCAATACGTTCATTTATTTTATTTTACGTTCATTTATTTTATTTTTGTTTGCGCTCGGCTATTATGCGGTAGTTTTTTTGCGACAACATTATTGTCATTGACCCTCCGCCACCCCGACAATAGTTTTACTTTTTTTTTACAAAACCTGCAATGTACCCGTACCAACGTATCGATCACATTCCGACCGACTGAGTTACGTCGCTGTTTTTCAGAAGCGACCTGGCCGCAAACGATATCACGACGGAGAGGCTTATCGTCACGTGCAAGTGTACAGCGACTAAAATACTTTGAACGCGTGACGTTGATTCTAAATGTGAAGGGGGAAACCGGAGGACCTGGAGAAAAACGCACGCGACCACGGGGAGAGAGAGACACGCAAACTCCCAATGCACCGCAGGCGCAGGGTCGTGATCTAACCCACGACTTCCGGTATACCAGGCGAGGTAGTTAACATCTCCTCGCCATCGTGATGATGATGAGAGAGAGAGAGAGACACGCAAACTCCCAATGCACCGCAGGCGCAGGGTCGTGATCTAACCCACGACTTCCGGTATACCAGGCGAGGTAGTTAACATCTCCTCGCCATCGTGATGATGATGAGAGAGAGAGAGAGACACGCAAACTCCCAATGCACCGCAGGCGCAGGGTCGGGATCTAACCCACGACCTCCTGTATACTAGGCGAGGTAGTTAACATCTCCTAGCCACTGTGATGATGATGAGAGAGAGACACGCAAACTGCCAATACACAGCAGGCGCAGGGTCGAGATCTAACCCAAGACCTCCGGTATACCAGGCGAGGAAGTTAACATCTCATAGCCACCGTGATGATGATGAGAGAGAGACACGCAAACTGCCAATACACAGCAGGCGCAGGGTCGAGATCTAACCCAAGACCTCCGGTATACCAGGCGAGGTAGTTAACATCTCCTCGCCACCGTGATGATGATGAGAGAGAGAGAGACACGCAAACTCCAAATATACAGCTGGCGTCTGGGTCGGGATGTAACCCACGACCTCGGGTATACCAGGCGAGGTAGTTAACATCTCCTCGCCACCGCGGCACCCCGAAGACACTGCACGTGAATATCTTCATCCATTGGTAGATTGGCAATGGATGGACTTTATTTAACGTCACCTCGTCGCGTTGAGATCGTAAGTTGGTTTATTAACGTGAAGGAATGGGAGCAATGCAGCTTAATGGCATTGACAATTGAGAACGGCTGCTTTTTTTTATTAAACACCCTCCACACCTGCACTCACTGAGTGCCCATCGCTCCCTCCTCGCTCACTCTGTTTGCTCCACCTGGTGTTGAGTATTCGGAGATAAGAGTCAGTGGTCCGTGCTGTTTACACCTCGGCGCTAGATCGTAAATGTTACCTTTTTTTTTTTCTCAAGGTGTTCTCATCTCGGCTTGAGCTGTGCAATGTTGATTGCCTCCCGAGCACTCTGTGTGTGTGTGTGTGTCACTTGTGTGTGTGTGTGTGTCACTGTGTGTGTATGGGTGTGCCCTGTGTGTATGTATATATATAGATGTGCGCGTGGGGAGCGATAGTGTAGCGGTTCGCGCGCTGCGCTATGAACCTGGCGATCCGGGTTGTGTGTGTTGAACGTCTTTCGTGTTTTACGTTTTAGGTTTGCACTCACTGAATCGTTAAAACGAGCAATTACGGTGCACGTAAACCTGCAGGGAAAACACACACCCACATTCGTTAATTTACTCAACTATGTTTTTTCAATTTTTACCAGGTAAGACACACTGAGATGTATAGCTCTTTTTTCAGGAGCGACCAGGCCACAAATGATAGTTCAACGAAGTGGCTTATCACGTGGAAATGAATCGCAGCCAAATACAGAGTGTTTCAAAAAGACGTGAACACTTCCGAGAATTTACAACGCCACAAGAGATGTGCCTCCGGGCACTGGAGATCACCTGGAGAATATTCCAGGCCACGCGTTGACAATAATGGCGAACAAGTGGAGACTCTTTGACTTTTTGAAGCTATTAACATACATTTGTTATCATGTTACAGTGTAGTGTCCGTTCTTTTCCATTAAAAACGATAGTCCCATGTAAGTGTTAACATTTATTTGAAGCATCCTGCACTCTGAACGCACGTTGATTCTAAATGTGGAGCGAAAAACCGGAGGACCTGAAGAAAAATCCACGCGACAAACAGAAAGAGAGAGCGAACATTCAACTTCCAAATATACAGGCGTCAGGGTCGGGATCGAACCCATGAATCTCCTGCATATCAGGAAAGGTAGTCAACATTTGCGCCACCGTGGCTCCAATCCCTTCCAACCGTCGCTCAGGCCAACGTCAATGGCGTGGTGGGTTTGACCCACGGCAAAGGCAATGCGCAAAAAAACGACCGTACCGAGTCTGATCTGCTGGGTGGAATCGCCGCAGCTCCAGTCGCACGCGGCCACCAAACGAAGCAGCAGGCTCGCCACGGCGCTCATCCTCCTATCGAGAGACGCGAGGGCCTCCTTGGTGGTCTCTCCCGCGCGCCGCAGCCTGGACTCTTCGCCCGACGCCGCCGACTCCAGCGAGTTGAGGCGCTCCGCCAGCCGCGAGGTGCCCTGCCTGAGCCCCTTGCTCAGCACCGCCACGTCCAGCTGCAGCTCCTGCAGCTGTCCCGTGAGCGCGCCGAGCGACAGAGACCGCGGCTCGTCCGCCTGCGCCCCCACGGGCTCCAGATTGGAGAGGCCCTCAAGTTGCTGCTGAAGCTGCTGGTGGTCGTGGTCGCCCGCGCTCGCTTGTCCCAGAACGTCGCCAGGGACCATCGGGTTTTTCTTCGACGTCCGCAGGGGGTCTTGAGAGTCGTGCGTGGGCAGCTGAACGCAGAGCACACGGCACGGCGGCGATGACATCGGCTGCAGGAGCTGCCACAGCAGCAGCAGCAGGAGGAGAGAAGGCGGACGCGCGACAGCACCCATGGCGGGAGTTGTCCCCCGTGCCGCCGAGACTCGCGGGCGGACGATTTTACGGTCGAGCGGTTCGTCGACGCGCAAACAAACACACGGTTGAGAGCGCAGCGGCCAGTTGGGCTGGAATTTATTTTCCCAAAAAGGGGAGGTCGTGTAAACACGGGGCCGGCCCTTTGTTGCTTCAGCGAGAGAGGGGGGGGGGGCACAGGTTATCCTCCCCGAAATTCCCTTCCTCTGCCACCTGCACTTTTTTTTTCTTCTTGACGACGAATGGCACCGAGCCATGGCCCAGTAGAGTCCAACGCTCCACGTCGTGCGGTGCGGTGCAAAGCGTCACCAAAATGCGCACCTTGCGTGGCGCTGAGACCGTGCCCGTGTAACAAAAAATAAAAGCCGTCACGATCGTTAAATTGGAGCTGATATGCTCACGACTCATGAATACCACCGCGCGGAGGCGAGGAAAAGAATGGATTTTGTTATTAAACACTGTTGCTTTGCCCAATATGTCCTTGCGGTCTTTGTGTTGTTGTTGTTATTGTTGTTGTTGTTTTACAGTCACGGCTTTAATGCCTCGAGCATAGCAACTTGTGTTGTGCCGGGCTGCTGTAGAATTAATGGGTGAGACTACAAGAATGCACACACGCCTCGGCTTTACTTGACGGCTTTACTTCACGGGACTTCCCTTGCGAAAGGCGAAAGATCCAGGGCGTGTTTCCGAATTTTTTTTTAAAACTACGTGAACGAATTCTTGAGACCACCCCGGCTATAATTTTCGGTGAATTGAGCTTCTCGTTTTGTTTTCTCTCTCTCTCTCTCGTCTTTCTTTCTTTCTTCTTTCCTCTTCGATTCTTCCTCGAGGCGAACATCAAAGCGACGCGCCAAGTGTAGCCATGTGTTTGCATCTCGTCCGCGCCACCGCACGCCCGTGTAATTTCATCGCAACTTGGGGCCACCATTATGAACCCAACCGTGGGCAACATCTAAACGAACGCGCACAGAGGAGAACCCATTTTTGTCTTTAGTTTGAGGAATTGTACAAAAAAAATCCATGGTAATGGTGGTAATCTGATAGGTAATTGCAGCCAGCCTCTTAACCCTGCGAGATTGCTGTGATTGCACCAGCTATTACGGGGCATTGCTACTCCTAGTTGGCGCACGCGCTCGCGAGCCAAACACCCGTGGATGGAATTTGGGGAAACGTGCCATCGCAGAGGCCCTCCTGGAAGACAAACCGAGTTGAAATGCAAGCGAGGCTCCCCTGAGTAAATTCTGCTATTTACTGTTGGCAAACAAAAGAACGCAACGTAAAACAAATGTCATTGTCTTTATTGGGTGGTCGACGGAAATTACCGCCAGGTGCATGCCTACCGCGGGCCGAAGGGCCCTCGACTAGAAGGTGTAAGAGTACCCGTATTTTAGACACCGCATGCGGCTCGCAGATTGATTGCGGTTCACGCGTTTACTCGACGTAAAATATTCCAAAATGCATTCGGCTCACTAGCGAATCGCACCGATTGTGCCCGATCTCATCACTTCCTGGAAGGTAAGCAGACTTTGAGCCTGGTTACTATTAAAACTGTTAAAGTCGTTTTTTTTTTACCAGGTAAAGGCCCACTGAGCGATACAGCTGTTTTTCAGAAGCAGCGACCTGGCTACCACAAATGATAGCCCAACGAAGTGGCCTATCATGTGAAAATGTACAGCAGACAAATACTCTAAACGCGCATTTCTAAATGCGGAGGGGAGACACGGAGGACCCGCAGAAAAAAACACGCGTGCAGACTACTTGAATGCCAGCTGTTACAGACTTGGGCTGTGAAATAGCCAAGAGATAGGCAGTAGAGAAAAGGATTATTAAACCTAACTTTGCAGAGCTTGTGGGTGGTACCCTCTCGCCTGAGAGGGGTTTCTTCCGTTTCTTCACACGTTGCACCCACACACTAATGGTGCTGGCCAAAAGTCCCAATGCCCTCCTGAAAAAAAGTCTTGAGAATGTTCGAAACTTTGCTGGGGAACTCGAGAACATTATATATATTTCGATTGTTATTATTTGAATTTGCAAAAAAACTTGAACCCTGTGAAATTTACTGTGTATCGCCACTTATTTGTTGGCTGTAGTCGGGAGTCGAACTCAGGTTATGCGAGTCACAGGTATTGCGTAACCACTTGCCCCGACTTGAGAATTGCCTTCAGCTGTACATATTCGTGATGCCTCTGATGGCCACTGGTAGGCGACACATGCTGGGCAGGGTAAAGTCTTGCGGCGGGTCAAACTTTTTTGACCCGACCCGATTTCATGAATTTCACGAGAACCGCGAACCGGTCTCAACCTGCACCAATTGTTTTTTTTTTGTTCCGATAACGTCCGTCTACGTTTTTGACTGATGTGTTATCCTCGCAGCGGCAAAGCTACTCACTCACGTTATATCTAAAAATGCCTCCGCTCCTAAATACTAATTCTGGAAACAATTCAACCACATATGGCACGCATTACCTCCTCCGCTAATTGTACATAGTCGCTGTTTATGTGTATCTATGTGTATCGTTGTGTCACTACGTGTATGTGTGTATGTACGCATGTGTTGTAGTGCAGCGGTTAGCGCAATCGGTCAGGCAGGGCCCCAATATTTGATGAGTCCCGCAAAAATCCAGCCACGACAGCTCCGTTGTACATTTTACATCCTTGCAATATTACGTGATTGCTCTGATTAAATTAAAATAAAACGTGGAACGTAAATGAAAGCATTTTCATTAAAATATATATTAAACCGCGTTTTAAATATGTGTTGTTATTTTTATACTTGTTGAAAACATACCGCGTGGTCCTACGCGTTAAATACCTCGTGTTGGTTATCAAGGGGGCCCCGACTCGTAGCTTTGGCCACCGGGGGGGGGAGGGGCAGGCCACCCCCTGCCTGCCCCACGCTCGCAACGCCACTGGGACAGAGCCACCCACCGAAGCGCTTGGACTTCGGGGTCACTCCCGGCGGTCCGCTATGCACGACTCTTACTTTAGAGCGCTATTACCCAGCACCTCGAGTTTCCATGGTGGAAGATTTGAGAGTTATTCGCCTTATTTCAATTAACATTGCACCATCCGTATTCCCACAGGTTGAACTCGTTCTCCGTGTCTCCGCCATGGAATATTTTTCTCCTTACTGTAACCCACTGTTGGTAGCAAGACAACTCCAGTACGCGCTCGTCAACAACACTGTGGCCTTAAAAGGAAATAGGATATCACTAAGTGACGTTTCAGGCAATTAGCCTCCGTTACAGCAAGTAGAGAAGCTGTAGACATGGCCTCTTTGATCATGCTTCTCCAATGCAGCACCACCAAACTATGTGCTTACCGTCTGTAGCACGTGCACTGTGATTAATGCGCCGTGTTCAGCCATCATCGACGACGATCCATCCACTGCTGGATGAAAGGGTATCTCAAGCCATTGCAGTCTCTCTCACGGTCTCGCCATGCAACAATCAAAACGACTCCTCCACGTTGGATGGATTTCATCGTTCCATCTCCTCGGTGGGTATCCCTCTCGGTCGAATTCCATCCTATAGCTGCCATTCCATAGTTAGTCTTGACCGCCGTTCATCATTCCTCCCCGCCATAACGTGTCCTGCTCAAACCCACTTTAAGTCACCGTCACATCTCCAACTTGCATATGTGATCTAATCCTCGTGTCCCTGAGTCTCTCAGTGCAATTATGAACGTTTCTAAATTATTTGACACAAGCTGTCGACGTAAAGTGATAGCGAACGCTTGCAGAGAGGCCTTCATCCAGCAGTGGATTGGCCATGGCTTATAATTATACTGTACAGCGAAATATTCGACTCGCCATCGAACAAAGATGGTCACCGCATCGCGCGCTTTCAGATGCGCTTCTGCGGCCGTCTGGAACGCTCTTCCTTCCGATATTAGGAAGTCAATGGAACTATGCACTTTTAAATAATCTAGAGTGAAAACTCGTTTCTTTAGAAGTGTTTTTTTGTGTTTAGTTTGTTGTCCTTCCCCTCGCACCACTGAGTAGCACGGTTGGCTACGTACGGTGCGAAATAAGTTCAACATACATATGTATAAGAATGTTTTACCCTTTCTGGCAATAAAACAGGTGTTAAGATGTTAAAACACCAAACATGAACCTTTTTCAAGGAATCCTCTCTGCATTAACCACATTTACTTTTGGTGAACACATGCAAACAAAAAAACATGATCTGGAAGTAGATGCATTGCCTTTGAAACTGATTGGTCCACACCAGAGACAACTTCCTTTAGAGCCTCGTCTCAAACGGTGTTAGACCACAGGACGCCAAAAGGCGAACAGCACAAAGACAATGCCACTATCAGGACATTGAGAGCTCGGAGTGATCAGCTACATCATGGGACCTACCTCGCAAGTACCAACATATAAGAATAGGTTTCACCCTTTATTTAAATAAAACAGGTATTAACATGATAATTGTTTTTATACCCTTTTATCTGGCAACAAAACTGACACCTTTTTTTTACAAGGAGCCATGTTTGCATTGACCACAATACCTGCGGACGGAATGCAAACAAACAACATAATTCTTATAATGTATGCACTGTCCTTGAAATTGATTGGTCCACACCCGAGAGTCATTTTTGTTGCCAGATAAAATGGTAAAAAAACAATTATCATATTTTGTTACTGGCAAAGGAGGTTCCAATGGTATTAAGATGTTAAAACACCCAACAAAAAACCTTTTGCAAGGTTCCCTGTCTGCATTAACCAAATATACACATTGAACCGAGACTTCTAAGAAGGAACAACTTAACCTGATGATCGGCAGGTGGCGATATCGCCCCATAGTTCGCAGTTACTTGCTCTAATTATTTGCGTGCGCATCGACTCAATTCGCCGTTCGATTTCGATTCTTAATACATAGAATCGTGAGCGTAACAACATTATTAATAATAATAAATCGATGTTATGTTAAACGTACACGTACGCACATTGGACTTACAATCCAGAGATCTCCGTTTCGATCTGGTCTCCTGATGTGGCATTTAAAGCAATAGACAGTCTTTTTTAATCCATAATCGAGGTTGTTTTTAGAGTGGGATCGCGTAAATATAAATGTGTCGCTAAACCCGCTAACCACCCGACGAAGCCAATTTAGTTAGGTTTGTCACGTAAACAAAACATGCCAATCCGTTACTTGTTCAGCACCACCGGTGTGTTGGGGAGTGAACCCCAACATTTATATTCACGTGATCATACCCACAAATCTCTATTTTGGATAATATTGGTCGCGAAAGCCTACTTGGTGTTAAACAAGATTCGATTTTTTTTATTCCACCTCCACCCTCCTCCCGCCCCCCTCACCCCCCCCCCCCCCCCCAGGGTGCTCCTGTTTCCTCCCAGACACACAAGCTGATTGACAGCGGGCCGTGCTGTCTCTTGCGCGCATCCACGTTGAGTGATGCGCCGTGCGAGTGCGGTTATGAAGCGAGGCCAATAATTGAGCTTCTTTCATTATTAAATATTACTGTAGCTCATAAATACGTGCCCCACACACACACACTCTTAAACATCCACGCACACACACACACGCATGTATCTATACACACACGTAAATACACATCGCCAAATAATAAATTTCCCAGGCGTTAGGGAGTGACGCTGGCCAACCACGCCGTTCGTGCGCCATGCCGGCCTTCATAAGGTACACGGCTAACAAGCAGCACTTGCCCCCAACAGTCGGTGAGAGTCTCTACGGGGTGACCTTTGTCTTAGTGCATCAGTGGTGCTGCTGTTCAAGAGTGCGCAGGCGGTGCAACTGCACCGCGGTGGAATTCCAAGGCAATGGGCACGTCAGACCGAACCCGAAGCGGATATCAATTCCTCATTAAATCATCAACAACCACGTGTCAATGGCAAAGGCGCGTCCCCATAGCGATTATCCACTCTCCTCGACTACACGGTGAAATACCCGCCTCGGGTCTTGGCATCCAAGTCTCCACGTTGGCTGGGAGAGATCATTAATCAGAAGCCACCACACACACCCTATGACTGATTGCTCAAGTCAGACAGCACAGTGGTGGAAGACATCATCAATGGAACGTTTGTTCTGAAAGTGACCGCAAAATGTTGTCCTTAATAATGCCAATGTGCCAAGTGGGTGAGTCTCAAACTTTTAGAGCAAAGTAACTAAAACGGCAGTCCTTCACATTCCTGGTTTTCCAAAAAGATTCCCCTTTAAAATGCACGGATATTTACTAATCCACGGCTGGATGGAGCTAACAACATCTGGAAGTTGACCAGCATTGGTTTGAGCCAGTCTGACTCTGTGGACGATGAGGCAACGATTTTTGTTGAAACCGGTCCAGAGTTTTGCTTGCAGTAAAAGCAATGCTGTTGCACAAAAAGTATAATCACATGCAGATGCGTGCGTGTGGCTGATGGGATACTTTTACGCAATGTTTTTTTTATTTTATTTTACGCGGAGGGACAGATTTGGGGTAAAGACAAATGTGTCTATTTACTTCGCTTGTCACTCACAGATTGTCCACGGCGACGCTCGTGGTTTTGTTCTGTTTTCAACGTTGTTTCGACAAACTTTGAGGTGTTAGCGCAGTGCGCCAACCACCGTG